CCTCAAAACAGGATTCTTAAGGAAAGGATGTTCAAAGAGGAGATTTGCAAAACTATTATTTGTTGTGTTTCACGGCTATCTACACATAGGGCTGATAGCTATGTAGTGACCTTTGTTGTTAGAAATACAATTTATTACCATCCTCTGCTTCTAAAAGACAGAAAAAAATCAATACATTGCAGGTACTAGGATGTTTAGGCCCCATGTGTGGATTTCTCCAGATGTCCCCATTCCATGGAGTAGAAACGCTGTGGGGTCAAATGGAGTAATGAGGTAACTAGAAGATGGGAGGATCTCGAAGGTTTGAAACAGCACTCCTGGATTTGCACTTGCTGTTAAGAATGGCTCATGTGTGTTTTGGCAGGCTGGTAAGACCAGGAGCAGGCTATGCGTAAGCAGTGTGTGCATTACAATTTCATCCATGTGGTTATCTGTAGCTGGCTTTGTGGGTTCACCAGAGGCTTACTTGTTTGGCAGACTTAGAGGAAAGACAGTGAAGGAATACACTGGACTCTAAGGTTAAGCCCTGTATCTGACAAAATGCAAGAATTCAAACCTCTCAGCCCTTTAGAGGGAGAACTCTTCTGAAGAGAAAACAGTACTATTACATTTTCAAGTAAATTGTTTCATGTCCTTTAACACTAATAGATAAGTGTGTGTTTGTGTTTTAGAGGACAGCTTAGTGGTGGATAACTTTCGAAATAGTAAGCTAGGGAATTCACACTCAGGGATCCTCAGCTAGCGTTTGAACGACCCTAATCAGCCACCCTATTATAGCTTTATCTCCAATGAACACAAAAAAAGCCTGTTAGTTAGCATAGGGGATGCTAAAATAAGTTTTCATGGGTGAAATGAGTGGTGATTAAGATATGTGAATATGCTGGAAATATTATGTAGGCAATTCCTTCCTTCTGTAAACAACAGGGAGTAAGAATCTGGAGAGAGCTCCACAGCCTACCCTCTTCACAGGGCCGTTCTCGGATCAGGGCTTCATTCAATGGCTCAACAGAGAATCCTGTGGCTCAACTTCTGATCAGAAGTTTAACTGAACCTTTCACCAGGATACTGATGCATCTACCTTGAGTGGCTGTTTCGTGCATGCTGTTGCCTGGGATTTCACTGCGCTTATTATATCAGCTTAGCTAGTTGATTTGAGTATTCGAACATGTGGCATCTTTGGTCAAATGTGCTTTCAATATAACTCATCACCCAGTAATGAGATTGTAGGGAAGGAGGATTATAGTTCTCACCTGTTCCTAGCTGCTGGTGGTGATCAATATCTGCCAGAGTAACCTAAAACTCGTGAACAGCCAAATTTGCTTAAGTCAGGTCCATTCACTTGATCTGAGATAATTGCTTGAGGGTTAGTTAAGGAGAAACACTGGTTTTTGAACGCAGCCCAGTGAGTGTAAATGGACTTGTCTCCTACTCAGTCCTCACAGTTCTATGGCGGTGGGGGCTGCGACAAAGGGTGAATCACAAAGTCACACAGACGTCCCTATGGTCTGTGTAAAAAATGTGGTGTGGAAGGCAGCCCTGCACAGTTATTAAGTGGGCAGGATGATTTTTCTTTCAAACACAGGATGTGAGTAATATTACATTTCTTTCCTTTCTCTAAATAAATTTAATATGCTCCAAGCCTCCAATCGGCCTCACTGGTGCAAAGGTCAAGCTTTGTCTGGATGGTTCCCCTCTCGGTGCCATGTGAAAGGCCTGTTATTTGGTCCCCAAAGATTATAGCTGACATGCTCAGTGTTCAAAGCTGTACTATTCTTTAAGGATGGAGGCTCTGCTGGAGCTGCCTTTGTGAGGCACTACGGTCATTGCCAAGTCTAGGAGCCCAGTGCTCACAGTCTAACCTCTTTAGGAACTCTAGGTGGCTGTATATTGCTGAGATCCTATCACATCTTGGGGTGTTGCAAGGGATCAGGGCACAGGCTCCTAGTGTTGTGGAGCCCCCCCACTTTTGGTGTCTTACCGATCTTGGATGCTTTCCAAATTACTTTGTGGTCTTGCTTTTTCCATTCCTTCTATTTCTGAAAGAATCCTGTATAATCACTTTTCAGGAAGTGATTTAGAAACACAATGTGAACTCTTCTCTTTGGAGTGGTGGCTGGAAAAATAACATGCCAACACTAGCTATAAACACAGTCCCTACAATGTAACCTACTTATGCTGATGGTCACATTCAATGAGATAGGTGAGAGGAATCGTTGTAGAATTGTCATCTGAAACTGCCCAGCAAGAGATGTGACCTTCTGAGATATGAAGTGGCAGAGAAAAAAAATGGAAATCTTCTTAGAGTGGAAGAAACTAATTTGTCTTTCTTTGGGCACATGTATGTCTTTAACTGTGCAAGGAAACATATATTCAATGATTTGTTAATAACACGAGCACCATTACTATAATAGTTATTTAAAATAATTTGAAGTGAGTAACATATTTTAATAATAATCTGTATTTGCTTAGCATTAGATGTTTTCATGCAAGTTATCTCATTTGCTTTTGACAACATTCTGGTAAGGAGGCGTGGCACATAGGATTTCCCCATTTTGCTACTAAGAAAAGTCAAGCACTTTGCATGTTAATTGAGCCTCAAAGTCAATCAGTTAGTAGACAGTTGAGTGGAACTAATACCCACGTCCATTGCTTTTCCACTTGACTACTCTGCCCTTAGTAGTAAGATGTGGAGTGAGAATATGGCTTATGGATGACTTAATCTTAAGTGGTTACTTTGAAGTACATCTTTCAAATTAGACATAAAAGACTTTCCTCACAATATCCAATGAATGACCAAATCGCTTTTCCTGTAGACTACATATTTAACTTCAACTTGGCCAAATACATATCGCATGCTTGCAGCACTCTGCAGCTGAGAGCAGTTTGATGGGAAGTAGGTTTGTGGAGGGATTAGGTATCTGTAGTCATTCATTCATTTATTCATTCATAAACATTCAAATAGCAACTACTGAATGCCAAGCATCAGCCTAGATTCCAGTGCTACTTTTTTTTTTTTTTTTTTTTTTTTTTTTTTTTTGGCAATAGGATCTCGCTCCGTTTCCCACACTGGGGTGTGGTGGGGTGATCATGGCTCATCGTAGCCTCGACCTCCCAGACTCAGGTGATCCTCCACAGGCCTGTGCCAGCACACCTGGATAATTTACTTTTTTTTTTTTTTTTGTAGAAACTGGGTCTTTCTACATTGCCCAGGCTGGTTTTGAAATCTTGGGCTCAAGGGATCCTCCTGTCTTGGCCTCCCAAAATGTTGAGATTATGGGCATGAGCCACCACGCTTGGCCTCCAGTGCTACTCTGTCTGACACAGTAGCCATGAGCTATAAGGGGTGATTTAAATCGAAATTAATTGAAATTAAATCACAAATGCAGTTTTTCACTCTCACTAGCCATATTTCAAGCACTCAATTGCCACAAGTGGCCCAATGGCCCTTACTGAATAGTGTATACATAGATTCTTAAAGGAAGAACATTTCTTTAAGAACTTTCCTTTTCCTTGAACAGAAATAAAGCATTTCCCTTATTGCAGAAAGTTCTGTTGGATAGCAGAGCTGCAGAGTTATAAAGATACAAAGGGACTAGATTTGGTCCCTCCATTTTGAAAACTTACAATTATTGCATGCCTATCGCAGAACTTGGAGTACATCATGGAAATTCTATAACAGGGTATCAGTTTTAGTTTAGCAGATTTTTCTTATGCCAGTCACTATGCTAAATCCTACGGATACAATGAAAGCTAAAAATTGGTCTCTGAACCCCAGTAGTTTACATACAGTTTAATGGAGACAAGAAAAAAGTGCCTCAAGGCCTTAAGGACCAGAGTAATTCTGCCTGGGAAGGTTACAAGAGGAAAACACAGTTATACATATTTCTTCTGTCTTCTCTACCAATGTACATGCCTTGTGTTTTTTTTTTGAACAACACAGAAAATACTTTAACAACTGTATCATGTAATAAGTAATTATTATAATTTTGCATTGACATTCTCAAAGCACTGGGCTCCCTTTGCTCTATTTTATCAATGAGCCTGGACCATAGGGTGAGAACCATGACAACCTCTGAATTCACTTGGCAACATTAATCATAGGGCAGGCAATTAGACCTCATGCCAGTGATGTTTCTCAGTGCAGCCTCACCCCCTACCATGGGAAAGTGAAGGAGACCTTTAAATCTCCTAATGGCCTCACGGTTATAAGGGTGCCCAGCAGTGATCTTTTATTGAAACTTCTGGCAGCAGCTGTTTTGTATCACTTCTACCTTTAGCATATTTCATTTAAGTTGCAAAGGTAATGAAATAGTTATGCCCTTTACAGTAAGATAACTCATTTAATTTGTGAGTAGTGGCTGTATATTAACTGTGTTTTCTGAAACTTGTGTGAAAGGGACATCTATTTATTGACTGAATTATGGGGGTGGGGTTCTCTATTGCTATCTGGAGCTGGGGCCAAGGATTTAACCCTCAGGTTCCTTCCTTGCTGGCATCAATGTTACTGTACAGGCAGGAAGTTGCCCAGGAGTGAAAGCACAATGCTGCTGAGACAGAAGTCTATTTTAAGCTGATTTATTTCCTCACTTGAGTGACCTTGGATAGATCTGTCTTCTCTCTGTGCCTCTGTCTTTGTCTCTACAATTGATTCAGATGCAGTATTTATTGTACATGCAATATGCTTTGAAATTTTTGCAGCCTTAGTTGTTAGTGGGAGACCAGGCAGTCTCAGCTCTCAATCTGGATTTATTTCTTGTTCCACCAGTGGCTCGTTAAGTGACCCTAATGGAGGTACCAGTATTCCTGGAACTTTATTCTTCTCATCTGTAAAATGGGGTTGTGAGCATGCCTCCCTTCCTATCTCAGGGGAATACAAGAGCATACATATGTGGGAGAATTTGGGGGATTGGAATTTTATGAATATTTAGATTATAAACAGACATGTTTGTTGGTCTGCCTGTCACAACCCTGTCTCAGATTAACTTCCTCTTCCTTCCATGGCCCCTTGATTGGGCAAACTTCAAACAAGGTGACTGAGCTCCCTTAGCTGCCACTGACTGGCTCAGGATGGACCACAAATGTAGGAGGAGTTAATCTGGATCTAGCCTGAGCCAGTCAGACGTCCCCCTTGAAACCATGCCTCTAGAAATACAAAAAATGGAAGTCAGAGGGTGATGGATCCTTGAAGTAACAGGTCGGGTAGATCTTGAAAACTTTTGACTCAATCCATATTGATGAACGCAAGAATAATTCTAGTCTACAAAGAGAGGCAAGAGAAAGGCTTGGGGTGTATTAAGAAAAGCAGGTAAGTGACCCTGGGCCACTAGAAAGAGTGAGACAAGGTGATGGAATGAGTGGCTGCCTGAAACTTTCTAATTCATACAAGGTCTGGCTCTGTTTTAGGCATTCTTCACATTTTCATTCACACCACACTCTAATGAGGTAGGAAACATTACAGCTGCTGGTTTAGAGAATGCAGTCCAGCTATGGGACTTATCCAAGGTAACACAGCTGGTTTTTAAGTTGGCTAAGGATTTAATTATAGATTTCTACTCCTAAGTTTAAAGTTCTCTTCTGCTACACAATGGCCTATTATTTAAGGTTGAAGCTTGAAAGAGAAATGAGAAGATATAAGGAAACTGTTCTAGTCCAATGAAAATACTGAAGGCTGATATTTTACTTGTATTATGACTGAGTAATATTTGAAATCATCCCTGATATTTGTCCCAATGCCAGTAGCCTCACCATTAAATTCATCTCTTCCTCTGGAATTTGAATGACTCTACCACTTTTTTTCCTACTCATCCCACTCAAGTAATTTTTCATTTCTGTTGGATCAAGAGTGTGAGAGTTTACAAGGCTATCATGTATTTTACTTGGTATTTACTCATGGTTCTGATAGATATTTTCTGTGTTTGGTCATCTGCTTTGTGAAGCCTGCATCTTCAAAAATTATTTTTAGAACACATTTTAGTGATAATTACAAAAGCAAGCACCAACATTTCATTTAAGATCTAAGTTGGTATAAAGTATGTATTTATTTCACCAAGTCAATCAAAGGTTTTCAAATTTTATTTGATAGAACTACTTAGTCAAACAAAATGTTATGCTGAAAATTAATGTGAAAAGAAATTAAAACAGAACTTGTGTGTTTGAGGGAAAGTGGTAGACACCATTTCACTGACCCTTTCCCTAGTCCACCTCTGTCATCTTAGGGGAGCTGGTCAATACCTCGGGATTCTATAAGGCACAGTTTTAAAGCCACTGTATTAAACTGTACAATTGATTGTCAATAATTTTTATTCTACAAAAAGTTATTTTCTCAACAGAAAAAGAGCAAAATATTAATTTCATCTTCGAGTTGCCTTTGTAGGGGCTTCACTGAGCTTCCATGAAGACAAAGACCTTTGTCTTGCTTATCTTTTTAATCCCTGCAATACCAAATAGTTGCTCCATAAATGCCTATTGAAGGAATAACGTGAACAACTATTAACAGAAACTTGGACTAGAGAATACATTATTTGCATGGCTTTTAATCATTCACTCTTCTTTTTTTCCCGTCGATGACACACAATGCTATTGCAATATTGTCAAATGGTGTCACACTTATGCACTTTCTCCCAAGCACATAGTGAGTTTCTCTATAAAGAATAACTTTGAAGCTAATAATCATGGGTATTAAACTCTTTAGGCGACCTGGAGTTGGTTATTTAACCACTCTAAGCTTCTATTTCTTGATTTCTAAAACAGAGCAATAGTATCTACTTGACCTAGATAATAGCACATAGCACATAGGGCTGTTGTCAGTAATATTTGCAAAATGCTTAGCATATTGCCTTATGTGTGGTATGTCTCAATAAAAAAGGTTATTATTATTTAGCAGGCAATATGAAAGGCAACGAGGCAAAAAACACAATCACTGTAAAAATGCAAAGTCACTCTGAAGCCAATTTACATTAATCAATGTGCATATTGTGCTATGTACTGAGTGCTTACTTGTGTCATACAGTCAACAGAACTTTCTGTCTCACAGTTGGCAGTTAATTAAATCTCACCTTTTCCAAGAGATTGTGCAATGTGATGGGGGGTTTAAGAAACATCCTCTCAAAAGGACGTTGACTGGTGCCTGGGATAGTTATTATCTCATTAATGATTGGCATTATATTGATATAACTGAAGTAGAGGAGTAAGTTTCTTTCTTGGCCATTTGAAGAGTGGCTCAAACTGGCAGCTGTTGCTTTTTTTAAAAAAATGACTGCCTTTTTCCTGTTGCAAATACCCCACCCTTTATGCCAGTTTTCACATGCTTTTCAGTTGTGTTGTCAAAGTACTAGGCAAGTGTATAGTTTTATCTTTTTGACACGCAAATTACTCAATTTTCTATGGAATCAAATCTCTCATTCTAGTTGATTTTATTCACTTTCTCCCTGCGTAACTCTTCCCACTCCTCTTTCATCACAATAAAATAATCCCTACTTCCTTACTTGCAACTTTCTTTTTTTCTTTTTTCTTTGCTAGCTCTGTGGAAGTTTGAGTGACTCATTGCAGAGAGGAATTGATGAAGTCAACAGCTGCTGGAAAAACTTCTTTTTCCTTAATAGCTGTATCAACATGTGGTTGCTATTATTCAAGTAAGAAAAATATGTATATCAAACATCCATGGTAGTCCTTGCTAAATTTTCATTAGAGAAACTCATGTTTTGACATTAACAAAAGTTCAAACGGGTACCTTCGAGGATGTTTTGTTGGAGAACAAAATCATGGAGAAATAAAGTCTATAAAGAAAAACAAATGGCAAGCATGTTGTTAATAATGCTGTAGTTTATTTCAGAGTGGGTTAGGTGATTTTCTTCATGGCATTATTAGTGGCACTGCAGAAATTTGGCACCCCATGCCTTCATAGTCTCCAGGATGGTCTGACCATTCATCCAACAAATATTAATTGCTTGTCATAGTAAAATCTCTGCCTTATGGAGTTTAAATCCTAAAAGGGGTGAAAAACCTAATCATTGTGAACAGTTAAATGAAATAATTACTCAATATGATATGTACTGTGAAGGAAATAGGCAAGAGGCTAAGATAGAGATTAAGATAAAAGGACTTGCTTCACTTAGGGAAGACATGGGAGACCTCTCTGAAGGGTGACATTGAGGCTGAGACCTGAAGAATAGGAAGGAGTTAGCAAAGTAGAGAGGATTGTGTAAGATCATCTTGGTCAGAGGGAACAGCTGTGCAAAGTCCTCTGACTTTGAGAGGGGCCATAGCATGTTCTTGGTACTGAAAGAAAATCAGTGTGTCTGGAGCACAGATCATGAGGATGTTGTGGTATGAAATTAGATTGGAGAGATAGGCAGGAGCTGAATCACGTGACTTTGTAGGCCTTGGTAAAGAGATGCGATTTTATGAATGCATTTTACTGAATGCAGTGAGAAGTTACTAGAGGATTTTAAGTTCTGTATGTGTGTATGTGTGTGTACCTCTGTGAAAATGTGTGTTGCTGTAGAGCAAAGTGGCCAAATGAGTTGGATGGGGTTAAGGATGGAAACAGGTAGGATTGCCTAAAGTAGACCAGGATTTAAATTATGGCTGCTCACAATGAGGTTGTGGCAGTGGAATTGAGGCAGGGGTGCAAAAGCAAGATACATTTTGAAGATGGAACTGACAGAATCTGGTAATGAACTGGCTGTAGGTCTTGAGGAAAAGAAAGATCTACGGGGACTCCTAGGTTTCAAGCTTGGGTAGCTATGTGGATGACTGAACAATTAAATATGATGTAGAATATTTGGCAGGGTGGAGGAAGCATGAGTAGTACAGTTTGGAACAGCGTATGATAGAGATATCTATGAGACAGTCATGGGAGATGAGATTGTCTGGAGAGAACATGCACACAGAGACAAGAAGAGGGCTTAGCGTGGAGCCTTGGGCTATTTCTTCATTTATAGGTTGGATAGAGGACAGCTGAGGAGTAAACGATCTCAAAAGCAGAATAACAAACTGGATGACAAACACCCCTGGGAGCAGATATATTAGAACAAAAGAACTAATAATTTATATCTTCTTAAATAAACATCCTAATTGAGAAAAAGAAATACATTAGCAACATGAAACAAGAAAAGAAATTGCCCCCACAAAAAATGCCATGTAAAATATCAGGATAAAAATGTAGATTTGAAGGAACCTAATAGGTGGGATAAACAGTGACATAGATACAGCTGAAGAATGATGGAGTTGAAAGACCACATGGAAGAATGCTTCTAGAAAGATAGAAAAATCACACACAGGTCCATTATATTGAGATTTAAGAATGCCATAGGCAAAGAGAAAATGATAAATGACACAAATGACATCAGAGTTTTCAATAAATGCAGAATGCCAGAGGCAATGAAGTAATTTTAAAAAAATACATAAGAAAATAAATTTGAAGGTAGAATTTTACAATTAATCAATTTGTCATTCAAACATGTGATGGCAATAAAATATTCTCAGGCATACAAGGCTTTACCATAAAAGAACTCCCACTGAAAAGATGTTTTAACATAAGCACTCAAAAAAATAAAGCAAGAGAAGAAAAAACATCAAGAAAAAAAAGAACTATATCCAAAATACCACAGAATTAAAGTTCTGTATGTTGTCAATATGATTGGCAACTCCCACCGGGGGAAGACCAAAAGTCATGAATATATACTAAAATTCTTGTCTAGTTAGAGGATATACATACACATACAAATGTATATAATATACTGTATATATATATTAATTACTTTAAACAAGAAAGTATTAAAAAGAAACAAAAAAATGGGATACTTGCAATAAAAAGTAAGAAAATAGAAGAAAACAAAAATGTATCAACAATGACAATGAATATAAACAGACCCAATTGGCCAGTAAAAGAATAAACTATCAGATAGGATAAAAAACAAAATCCAACTCTGTACTGTTTATAACAGTCTCACATAAAGTGTAAGAACATGGGAACCGTACAGGCACACAGTCTAGGAGATGCCATTCACGTGACAGTCTCTCTAAATGGCATTCCCTAGAGCTGGGTAGTGTACTGCTGATATTGATGGTGCATGACAGCCCTCAGAGTAAAAGATTGGACCTAAATACATCAGGAAAATGTTTATCTTTTATTTTATTTTATTTTATTTTTTTGAGATGGAGTCTTGTGATCTCGGCTCACTGCAACCTCTGCCTCCCAGGTTCAAGCAATTCTCTTGCCTCAGTTTCCACAGTAGCTGGGATTACAGGCACCCACCACCACGTCCGGCTAATTTTTGTAGTTTTAGTAGAGACAGGGTTTTGTTGTCTCTGTTGGCCAGGCTGGTCTCAAACTCCTGACCTCAGGTGATCTGCCCGCCTCGACCTCCAAAGTGCTGGGATTACAGGCGTGAGCCACTGCACCCGGCCAGGAAAATGCTTATCTTAAGTAAACAGGTATAACTATGTAAGTTTTTAGCAAAATAAACTTTATGACAAAACAATAATTAAAGATGGGAAGACTCACCTCCTAACCATGAAAGGTATGTAGAACCAACTTATCAGTGAGATGAAATATTTCTAAACAGGTATGCACTGAATAGAGTAGCTTGAAATGTATATAAAGTAAACAATTATAAATTATTAGGAGGGACTGATAGTCTAGTCTTCTCATTTAAGAAACAGACTAGACAAAAAAGTCATTAAAATATAGAAAATCTGAACAACAAAACATAAAGCTGATATAATAGGCATATATTGAATTCTTTATCTAAAAATTAGAGGGTGCATATTCTTCTCAAACATACATTAAATATTTATAAAATTTATCATCGACCTGACCGTAAAATGTCTTAATACATTTCAAGAACAAGTATATTTAGATCATATTTTTTCCCAAAATAGAGATAGAAATTAAAACCAAAACTAATTTAAGAAATTTTATATATTTGGCAATTAAAAAACATAACATTTGTTAAAACTCATTGAATTGTAGTTAGGATATATGTATTTCACTTTAATGTTAATTATGCCTCAATATTAAGTCATTTGCATTTCTAAAGACAACCAGTCAACAATTAGCAAATATGTACTAAAATAGTTACTAAGTATAATAAATATCATACTTGGAATAAATAAATCAAAAAACATGAAAAAACTCTACATAGAACATTATGAAACTTTACTAAAAATGCTTATAAAGAAATAAATGAAACTCTACTTCCATGGTTAGAGCTAGGAAGCCTTGGTATCATACACATGCCAATTTTCCAACTTGATCTAAAGATTCAATTCCAATTAATATTCCAAATGAGTTTTTATTAGAAATGGATGAGACAATTTTAAGTTTTTTCTGGAAAATTAAATGGCAAAAAAATAACCAAGGCACTTAGAAAGTAAGGAGTAAGGAAAACAGGAAATTAAAACTTGTCTTACAAGATTTGGAGACTCACTTTAAAATGTTATATGAGTACAGGAAAAAAAATTGACCAGTGGGCTAGAATAGAGAGTTCAGAAATCAATCCAAGTATGAATGGAACTTCAATAAATAACAGAGGTGGCATTATAGTTTAAAGGAGAAAGGAGGACGTTTTCAGTTAATGAAGTTAGCAAAAATGGTTGTCTCGTTCAGAAAAAAATGGAATTGGATTCCTACATCATGCCACACAAACAAATCAACTCCATGTAACTGGATTAAGGACTTAAATGTTAAAAGCACATCTTTAATGTGATTGAACATATTGCAAAATATTTTTATGCTAGAAAAACCTAAGATATTTAAACTCTTAGACCACAGTAATGCTAGTTAAAATACAATAAATATCTTACTGATCTTGGCACAGGAAAATCTCTCTTTGACATGATAAAAAGTACTAAAAATAAAAATGGATAGATTTGAACACTAAAGTCAAAATACTTGTGTTCACTAATAGACATTTTAATAAGGAAAGTGAAAATAAGGATAGAAATTGAGAAAAGTATTTGAAACACATATAAAAATAAAATGATAAACATTAAGAATCTATAAGAATTCCTATGACTCAATGATAAAAGACAAACCATTTTTAAAAAACCCTTGCTGAATGACATGTCATTTCCCAGAAGAAGCCCACATGACCAAAAACCAGTGAAGAGACACTTAACCTTATTGGTAATCAGAAAGGTATAAATCAAGACTAAAATAAGATACTATTTCACACCCACTTGATTAGCAAAATTGAAGAAGTGTGACAGTTCCAAATGCTGGTGCCTATGTAAATTGCTATTATTACTTTGGAAAGTCATTGGTCATATCTAGAAAAGGTGGGGGTGTATCATTTTTCAGGACTGAACAATTCAGTCCTGATGATAATCCCTAGAGAAATTTATGCCCACAAGCCCTCCCAGTGGATGTATAGAAATATGATTATAGCAGTACCATTGGCATACCATGTCCTCCTCAAGAGGCAGCTGGATAAAAATGGTTAGGTTCACACAACAGACGAATATATAGCACTGAAAATGAATGACCTAGAACTATTTTCAACAATATGAACAAATCTTAATGTTAAGTGAAAAAAAAAAAAAATCAAATGCCAGAACAGTCCATTCCGCATGATACTCCTTAAAAAGACTTTTAAAAGAACTAAAACTAAATGTTTTTTCCTCACCCTGGGAGATTGTATTTAAAATTTTTTAATAGGCAAGAAGATAATAAATACAAAATTTTGGAGGATGGTTACCTCATATGGATGCAGGGGGGTGGGTGGAAGGGAACGAGAACGAACAAATGTGTAGTTGTGAATTCTAGTTCTTTGATTTGGTAATGAATTCATAGGTGCTTATGAATGA